CCCCCCCCCTACCCTCCGGATCCGGAAAACTGGAGGGGGCCACTACCGGTTCGCACCCCCCCTTCCCCTTTCCCCCCCCCCCCTACTCACCGCCAGCAAACGACTCCCGGTCCCCACCACCGTCCGCATCACATCCCCCACTGGTGTTCCCAGCACCATTGTCCTCACCACCGCTGTCCCCACTGGTTCCACCACCGCCCCTACTGTCCCCACCAGTGGCCCCACCACTGTCGCACTGTCCCCGCTGTCCCCAGAACTGTTCCCACCACGGTTCCACTCTCCCCACTGTCTCCACGGCCCCAACCACTGCCCGACTATCCTCACTGTCCCCACTGTCCCACTGACTCCTCCGCTGTCCCACTGAGCTGTCCCACTGTTCCCACCACTGTCCCCGCTGTCCCCGCCACTGTCCCCACTGTACCTCTGTCCCATTGTCCCACCGCCGTCCTCGCCACCGCCTTCACCACTGTCCCCACCACCATTGTACCCTCCACTGTCCCACTGTTTCCACCTCATTCCCATTGTCCCCACACCAGTCCCCACCACCACCGTCACCACCACTGTCCACTGTCCCCCCCTGTTCCACCATTGTCCCCACCACTGTCCCCACCACTACCGTCCCCACCACTGTCCCACTGTCCCACTGTCCCCACCACTGTCCCGCTATCCCCTCACCACTGTCCCCACCAACACCGCCCCCACCACTGTCCGCACCCCCACTCGGTTTTCGAGGGGGGGGGGTTCGAACCGGTAGTGACCCCACCCGGTTTTCCGGATCCGGAGGGGGGGGGGAAGGGGTTCGAACCGGTAGTGACCCCCCCCCCTTTTCATGATGAGCAGGGGGGGGGGGGGGGGGAGGGGTTCGAACCGGTAGTGGACCCCCGGCCGGTGGAGGGGGGGGGGGGGGAGGGGTTCGAACCGGTAGTGACCCCCACCGGTTTTCGCCAGCAGCGGTAAGGAACACGCTCTTTCCATCTCACATGATCATGAATCAGCATCCTCAACAACTTCATCATGGGGACACCATCATTCATCATCATCATCATATCATCAGTAAACAGCATCTAGCACATCCCCCCCTTCATCCATCATCGTTATCATCGAGACACCATTATCATCGTCATCATCATCATCACAATCATCAGCATCATCATCAGCATCATCGGGACAACCTCATCATCATTATCAACATCAACATCAACATCATCAACATCATCATCATCATCATCATCATCATCATCATTATCATCATCGGGCCACCACCATCAAAATCATCATCACCTCATCATCATCCCCATCATCAACATCGTCATCATCGGGACACCATCATCGCCATCATCATCAACCTCCTCATCATCATCAGGACACCATCATCATCACCATCATCATCAATAGCATCATCATCAACCTCATCATCATCATCATCATCATCATCATCATCATCATCATCATCACCATCGGGAAACCATCATCATCATCATCAGCATCATCTTCATTCTCATCATCATCTCATCATCTCATCATCATCAACATCATCAAGATCATCAACATCATCGCCATCAACATCGGGACACCATCATCATCAGCAGCAACATCAGCATCATCAACATCATCATCACCGGGACAACATCATCATCATCATCATCATCATCATCATCATCATCATCATCACCATGGCCATCATCATCATCATCATGATCATCAACAACATCGTCATCATCAACATCAGCAGCAGCAGCATGATCATCATCATCATCATCATCAACATCATCATCATCATCATCATCATCATCATCATCATCATCATCATCATCATCATCATCATCATCATCATCATCATCATCATCATCATCATCATCATCATCATCATCATCATCATCATCATCATCATCATCATCATCATCATCTTCATCCTCATCATCATCATCATCATCATCATCATCATCATCATCATCATCATCATCATCATCATCATCATCATCATCATCATCATCATCATCATCATCATCATCATCATCAACTTCATCATCATCATCATCATCATCATCATCATCATCATCATCATCATCATCATCATCATCATCATCATCATCATCATCATCATCATCATCATCATCATCATCATCATCATCATCATCATCATCATCATCATCATCGGGACACCGACGGGACACCGGCGGGACACCGGCGGGACACCGCGGGGCACCGGTTGCCGGAAGGGAGACATTTGGTCCGGCCGCGCCGCAGCCAGAGGCGGGACGTTTCTCGCCCGCCCACGCAGCTTCGCCTCGCCCGCACGCACGGCACGCACGAACACTAAACCGAAACCGATTTCCCGGTAGGGGGGCTCTCCGTTCCACTTCGATCTCACCCCTTCACCTCATATAGATATATATATATATATGTGTGTGTATATATATATATATATATATATGTATAGGGATACCGATAGTGAGAGGCATAGTGAGACCGATTGTGAGATCGGAAGTGAGGTCGATAGTGAGATCGGTAGTGAGATCGATGTCGGGGTCGATAGTGAGATCAATAGCGAGATCGATAGTGATATCGATAGTGAGAACGACTATGAGATCGATAGTGAGATCGATAGTCATCTCGATAGTAAGATCGACAGTGGGATCGATAGTGAGATCGACAGGGAGATCAATCGTGAGAGCGATAGTGATATCGATTGAGTGAGGTTTTGGTTCGTCCCCCTCCGGACCTCCTTCTCAACCCGAAGGAGGGTCGTATAGGTATCTGAGAGAGGGGGTTAGGGGAGGGAGGGGGGGAGGGTGAGCCCGACCCTGCTCCCAAACCAGGTCCAACCGAATTGGCTGAAACACCGCAGGGCAGACCCCCGTTACGCGGGCCCCGACTTCGTCGTCGTCCTCCTCCTCCTCCTCCTCCTCCTCCTCCTCCTCCTCCTCCTCCTCCTCTCCTCCGCAGCACTGGCCTCGGGCGGACGCTCGAAACGATTCTGGAACCCCCTGGACGGCTCTCAACGTGGCGCGGCTGCTGGAAAACGGCTGGGGCCCAGAAAGCTTCCAGATACAGTCCAGAACAACTGGAAGCATCCCAGACCCTCCGATGCTCGATCTTCGAACCCCAGCCGAATCATAGTTTGTGGTTTCGATGTACTTCTTAAATTGTCAATGCCTGCAGTCGCGCACTTCCAAGTGAGACGACGAGCCCCAACACGGAAATCGGTTTCGGTTTCGTCTTCGTGTCGTGCGTGTGGGCGAAGAGAAGCTGCGTGCACGGGCAGGCGAAACCATGCCAAATATACTGTGTCCCCCAGGTTGGCCAGCGGTGGCCTAGGGATGTCCCGATGGTGTTCCATGGCCTGGGGGTGTCCCGATGGTGTCCCAATTGTGTACCGATGGTACCCCGATGGTGTCCAAATGGTACCCCAATTGTGTCCCGATGGTACCCCGATGGTGTCCCGATGGTGTCCCAATGGTGTCCCCACGGTGTCCCGATGGTGTCCCGATGGTGTCCCGATGATCTCCCGATTTTGCCCCCCTTGTTGTCCACATGGTTGTCCAGATTGTTGACCCGTGAGACCGAGAGATAGATAAATAGTGAGATCGATGGACAGTGAGTCCGTTCGATAGTGAAATCGATAGATAGTGAGATCGATGGATATCCGTTCGATAGTGAGATCGACAAATCGATAGTGTGATCGATTGTGAGATGGATCGTAAGACCGATTGGTAGTGGTACGGATAAATATAATTCGATGGGGTGACCGATGGTGAGGTCAATAGTAGTGAGATCGATAAACAGCTACTGAGACCGATACGTAATGAGATAGTGCGGCCGATGGTGTAACAAATAAAGCAATTGTAAGATCGACAGTAATATCAAAAACAGACAATGAGATCGAACGTGCGATCGATAGAGGAACCGACAGTGATCGATCAACCGATAGTGAGATCGAAAGAGAAATACATAGCCAGCTCGATAGTAGGATCGATAGTGAGATCGATAGCGAGACTTATCGTAAGGCCAACAGAGATATCGATAAGCAAATAGTGAACGAGTGGACCACATATCTATGTACAAAATGTGGATTGGTGCCCCAACAGGGTCCTGATGGTGGCCTTTACTTGACGCTATAGCAAGCGTCAGATTCGGCGGTGGACAAACCTCCCTTTAGTAAACCACCCTTTACTGAAAACGGCCTGGGACCGAAACCGACGGACCTGGACCCGCACAAAATGACGGCCGCGACGCCCTCTCGCGAACCGAAAACGGCCAATTCGCTAATCGACGTGTCAGGGTAGGAGGTCTGTCAACCTTCGATAAGATCCATCCCCCCCCCCTCCTTGCCTGGGCCCCGGCGGCACGGGGCATGCCGCCGCCTGGCAGGCCGCCGCCTGCGGCGCGAGCACCGCCGCCGGGCCGCCGACCCGAGCGCTGCTGAGGACCACGGAGCCCCGGCGCGGCGGCGGCGCTTGGCGGCCCGCGGCGCCGCCGGCGCCGGGTGCAGCCAGCTCTCCGAGGCCAGGATCCAGACTTACGTCGGGCATGTCTCCCTCCAGGGGGATTTTGGGCGAAGAATTGAAAATACCCCAAAAATACCCCAAAATGACGGAAAAATGCTAAAACAATAGTCCCCTGACTATTTTTGGACTATTGTTGAATATTCCTCCTGTAGAGGGACAGGCCCGATTTAAATCCAGACAGGTCCACCGCCCGGGGAGCCGACAGGACCCAAACGTTGTTGCTCGTGTTGCTTGTCGTTTTGCTCTATACCCGTTTTCCTGCACCTCCCCCTCCCGAAACGAAGCACAAAACGCCGCCGCAGTCCGGCAAGACAGCGTTCGGGTGCAGCCCTGGCCGACACCCCGGGGCCCCGGGGAGCTCCAGGGCACAGAGATAGCCACGCCCACTGCCTCCTAGAGTTAAGTCGGGCCTGTCCCCCTGCAGGCCGACTTTGGACGGAAAATCAAAAACAGTCCCCAAATACCCTGACATACAAAAAAAAACAGTCCAAAACTCGTCCCCAGACCACTTTTTTGCTTATTTTTGTATACTCCTCCTGCAGAGGGACGGGCCCGACATTGCTCCCCGAGGGCCCCGGGCCCTGCCCATAGGGGGATTTTGGACGAAAAATAAGAAACATTCCAAACATACCCCAAAGACTCAAAAAAGGTTCCAAACTCGTCCCCAGACCATTTTTGGGGGCTATTTTTGGATCCTCCCCCTGCCGAGGGACGGGCCCGACACTGCTCCCCGAGGGCCCCGAGGGCCCCGCCCAAGAAAGGGGGGGCAGCGGCTCCCCGAGCGGCAGGCCCCGCGGGGAGTCTCCGGCCTCGGCGGCTCCAGGGCCGGAGGGGGTGCCAGCGCTCCGCCGCCGACGGGCGCCCACGCCCAGGAAATCCCTTTGCCTTGCCGTCGCTCGGACGTCCATGTCCCGTGCTTTTTTTCGGTTTCGTGCGTGCTTTTTTTGCTCGATGGTCCAGGATGGTCCTCGATGGTCCAGGATGGTCCTCGATGGTCCAGGTTCGTGCGTACTTTTTGTTGCTCGATGGTCCAGGATGGTCCTCGATGGTCCTCGCCGGGCGGTGCCAAGCTGCCCTCCACGCGTCGGTCGGAAGACGTACAGGGGAGCGAAGCATGGCATCAATATGAGAACTCGGAGGTCCGCGCGGACTTCTCGGATCCGCGCCGGGGCCCCCCGGCGGCGCCTCCGACGCCGCCCCTGGCGCGCTCCGCGCGCCAGGGAGGAGGGTCCAGCGCCGATCCAGGAAATCCGCGCGGACCTCCGAGTTGTTCTGTTTATAACATTCTTCGTTCCCTAGTAGAGGGCGCGGATGACGTAGAGTGGGCTCAGGTCTTCCCAAAGGGAGAACCCAAAAGCACGGCAGAAGCAGATCGGCATTCTTGGAGTGGGGAGGCGCCAGCAGCAGAGTCGGGATCAGGGACTCGGAAAATAACGAGCTTCCACGACCAGCGTGCGGTTACAGTCAAAAACCCTAATAAGGACGCGCCGTTAGGGCGCAAGACCCTTGGAAGCCGAAGTTGGGATTTTTGCGGCGGCGGACGACGAAAACCCCAAGGACGCAAGAGCAAGGAAGAGCAAGGACGCAAGGGCACCCTGCGCAAAGTCGCGCGTCCTTATTAGGGTTTCTGACCGTACACTGCCCCTCTGATCTGCATCGGCGGAGGCTCGGAGATGCTGTGCGGCAGCTCGGTGGGCACGCTGCCGCCGGGGCGGCTCGCCGAGGACAGACGCAAGACGGCACGCGCCTCTCGTCCGCGGGGGGGGGGCCCGCGCTCCGGACACGGACGGGGAGCACGCGGCCGTGGGGCCGTGCTGCTCCCATCGTACTTTTTCGGGGATGGACAGACCCCCCTGTAGTAAAACGTGGTTCAGTGAAAACGACCCGAGGCCCAGACCTGGCGGGCGTAAGCCTGGAAAACAACGGCCACGGCGCCATCTCGAGAACCGAAAACGGACAATTCACTAATCGACGTGTCGCTGTTGGGGGTGCTGCTCCCATCGTACTTGCGAGGGCCACACCCCAGAAACATTCTTTTCAGCACCCAGGAAGGTGTGGAAGCAGTGCCCAAACGAGTGTCGCCTCCGGGGGCCCGACACGCGAAAATCCTCTCAGGTTTCGGTAGTTTTTGGGTGCTCCTTTTTTTTCTGGTGATCAAGGCTGAAGTAGGTTGGAACATCATAACCGATGGACGGGACACAGGACCGCCTAGATAGGTGGCAACACGTGAACCCTACCCCCCCCCCTCCCACGATTTCTGAGGGGGGTTGGGGGGTCACTCCACGCGTGAGCTCCCGAACGAAGTGCACCACCACCACCCCTTTGGAAGCCGTAGGGGGCGGGGGTACAGCAGGTTCGTGTCGTGTCGACTTCGGCGTTGGTCTCTGACACCGCGGGGAACGTTCAACCTTGAACGATCGACCGTTTCCGAAACGTCAGATCGTTCAACACCAACGGATTCTGGGTCGCTGGCGGCGTTCAACGTTGAACACCAGCGGCGGGGTCGCCGCCAGTCGACACGACACGAAGCTACCGTAGGGTTCACGTGAAGCCACCGATCAGGCCCGACAGCAGGGGCAGCAGGGGGTCCACGCGTGGCTGCCCAGCTGAGGACCACGGAGCCCCGGCGCGGTGGCGACTGCGCCGAGGCTGCTCTCGCGGCGCCGGCGACGCCCGGCGAGGCCAGCTCCATGGTCGGAGCTCGGACCACAAGCGCCTGCAGAGGGCTGCTTTTGTGCAATTCCGGCCTCCAGAGGCCGCTCTGTGGGACCTGGGGCCAGCAGGAGGCGATCCAGGATGCTACATACAAAATGCCCCGTGGAAGGGGGCCGAGAGCGATGAGGCCCACGGATTGAAATATCGATATGCCGGCTCTGGGGAGGAGGGAGGGGGAAGGAGGGCTGGCGCGCCAGAAGGGACGGCCGGAGCCAAAATGGCTACGGAAGCTCCTCCTTCCTACTCCTGCTTCGATACCTCGTCCCTCATCCTTCCT